GGGGTACGCAGGGGGGGGGGCGTGACCCGCCGCCGGCTTCTCGGTGCGCCTGTTGCTCTTGCCGCCCCCGCCCGCGGTGGCGGCAGCGGCGCTCTCGGTCATGAGCGTTCGCCTCTCCCCGTCCACGTAGACGGTGATGCTGCCGTCCATCCACTGGTCTCTGCTGCCGCCGCCGCCGCCGCCGCCGCCGCCTCCTCCGGCCGCATCAGACGAGATCGAGTGCGTGAGGACGAGGTACTGCCAGCTACCACAGCGCACGTCAGGGTCGGCCACGAGAGCCGACGCAACCGCAGTAGCAGCGCCGCCACCGCCGCCGCCGCCATCCATCGCTTGGCCCGAAGAAGAAGATGGCCCGCTCGGCTGCTGACCCGAGCATGCTTGCTCCACGCTTGCGTGCACCTGCAGCTTCGCGCAGGCGTCGTCCGAAGCCGCCCCTAGGTCGCCGTCGTCGTCCAAGCTAGCCCCGATCCCGGCCGCCGCGACCGCCCCCGCCGCCGCCACCGCGCTACCCCCGGGCCCCAGGCACCTCCGAAGAGACACGCGGAGCAACGTCCTCGACGCGCCGTCGTTCTTTCGTCCGCAGACGGACAGCAGAGCGGTTTCCCCGCTCGAAAAGCCGGACGGCCGCAGCCACATCGACAGGGAGTACCCCACCCTCTTGGGCGGGAAGCGGACAAGCGGCTCCGAGACCAGGCCGCTCCCGCCTGCCCCGTCCATGTGGAAGAACCACGCCGGGGCGGGCGAGTCGACGACCGTGCCGATCACGCACAGGAGCTGCATCTGGAGCTCGTCCGCGTGGGGAGGCATGACCACCCCGTGCTCCACGCGAACCTCGTCCACAATTTCGGGGGCCCCGTCCTCTGCCGCCGCCAAGCCACCCACCCCCACCGCGTGCCGCGCCGAGATCAAGTCAGCGCCGGACGTGACTCTAAGCCGTCCTAGGCGCGCCCACGCCGACGGCTGAAGGCTGGCCAGATGGAACAGCTCCAGAGCGTCCGCCGGGGAGATGTGGTGGGACATGAGCTGGGCCGACAGGTGAAAGTACAGGTCCCGCGCCTGCTTCTTCCGCTCGGGGAGTCGGCATCCCAGCTTGAGAAGCGCGAGGGGCACCCGCAGATGGCACAGCGCCGCCGCGTTGGCCGGGTTCGCGTCGAGAAGGCGGGACAGCTGTGCCACGGCCTGGGGCTGATGCTCGGAGGGGACCAGCGGCAAGAGCAGGAACGGAAACACGGCGGCCTCGAGCCCGCGAAACTTCGTCGCCGCCGGCTTCCACAGCGGGTGTCCCAGGTCCGACGAGGTGACGCTTCCGCTTCCGCTTCCGCCGGGTGGCGCGCCCCTGGGCTGGGCGATGAAGTACCGCTCCTCCTCTCGCACCACGACCCCACCGCGCGCCCTGTTGATGAGGAGGACGTCTTGTGCTAGCGTGACGAGTCCTGGAGGAAGCCAGAGCTCGTCGAACATGTGGTGCGCCTCAGAAGCCCCCTCCGCGCTACTCTCCGCTCTGCTGCCCACCACAGAGTGAGACAGCCTTGGCAGGGAGCGAGGCACCCACGCTATACCGTCCTTCGACCCCCCTCGTCTACTGGGACTACGCCGCCTCCATCCCCGCCGTCTCCCGGAATCCCTAGACTCTCCCCGCCCGCGTTCGCCGCTCTCCTCACCCAACCACGCCTTCCCTCTCGCACCACCGGATTCTTGCCCCGTGCTGCTCGCTTGCCCGACTCCGAACCGGGCGACCTTCAGCGTCGGCGATACGTCGGATGAAGCCAAAGCATCATCCGGGTTTGTTACGACGCACTCGAACGGCGGAGGAAGTCGTGACGTGACCCCGCCCAACCGCCGCAAAGACGCCTCCAGCCAGAGAGAAAACTGGTGCGCTTGGATCGCCACGCCAGCGCCGTGGGCGGCCTTGGCGAGGGTGTCGTAGCCTAGGGTTGAACCCAAGCGCGCCTGGGAACCGAGAAGGGGAATGGAACACATGATGGGACATGCGCTGGGTTTTTGCGCGGGAGAGAGCGTCCCATGCAAAACTTCGTGTATGAATCGATGGGCAGGGCTCTTGTCTTGGCACCGCCATCCTACAGTATCAATTGCCACCAAAAACGATTCCCACACACGACAAAAAAGGTGCCCGAGAAAGGGGGGGGAGCGGGCACTCTGGTGGGGAATACCCGCTACTACGTACCACCCATGCTGCCTTCTGCCTACGTCACGCTTTACCTTCGCCGCTTCACTTCCCGCAGCCAGGTCGGCGAGGAGCAGCAGGGCCAAGCCCGACTCGGCCGTTCGCGACCCCGGTGAAAAGGAGGATGCGTTCTCCTTAACGGTGGCCAGCAGAACCTCCATCACACCCTCCGACACAAGGGAGTCTAACACGACTCCGCGCTGGTCTCCAGCCAGCCGGCCAACCACCTGCGGACAAGAACCAGGAGGGTGGGCGGCAGATCAACGCAGTCAGCCGGTTGTGCGGGTAGGGAACCCCGCATACCCCACGCGGTGCGGCGCAACATGGCAACAAGACCTCGTGTGCCGGTGTTTACGACGTCTTGGGGGAACTGAGGTTTTATCAGGGGAGGGAACGCAGAAACCGAACCGGCGCATGCCAACGTACGTGTCGTGTGTCTTGCAGCAAACTGAACATATCCAGCAAAAACCCAATACAGTTTCAACAATATTTGTCCTGACACATACATACGCGCGAGTCTTTCAAGAACAGCCCTCGTCGTTTCTTTCGCGCCAACCGTGTCCACACTCGCTTTCTCCTTACCTTGACATTGGCCGCTCCCATGCGCGCCTGAGGATGTCTGTTCGGCGACACGCCTGTCCTGCCTCCGACCTCCTCGTTATCACCTCCCAAACCAACCCCTCCTGCCACCGGTGTATTCGGTTGCGCGGCCCGGAGAGCTACGAGCGGGAGCACTCTTGTGCAACCTTCCATCACCACCTCGCACGGTCCGAAAGATCCGATCGCCAGGCGTAGCTCATTCAAGATGACTAGCCTCATCAGGACCTGATCCCTTGTCTGCGGAAAAAAACGAGGGTCGGGTCGGAACAACGAACATCAGCGCTGATGGCCTCATTCGCGAAAGGAAAATTTGATATCTCCTCCCCTTGCAAGGTGGGCCATTGCCGACTCATGGTACGAGTGATCAGACACGAATGGCAGAGCTGCAAACAACGAGCCCAGGTGAAAAGAAGGAACGAAATGCACGGTAAAACGAAGCGTGTGTGACAAGGTTTGCACGCAGCGTTGTCGCACAAGGGTATTCGTGAGTGACGGCTGACCTGGCCTGCTGAGCAACCTCCCGCGGGATGATCATCCCCACAGGGCGGCGGGGTCGGCTTCATCAAGTCTCGCACGAGCCACACAAGCCACCTCGCCGGCTGTACGAGGAGGGTCGTGCCACCCGCACTGCCGATGCTGCCGCGGCACTGTCCCGCCGTCCCAGTCAGCAGGGCCTCCCGAATGATCCACAGCGCCAAACGACGTGCCCCGACCCATCCGACCCATGCCTCCGACAGCAGGCGGCCGCTCGAATGTTCACCGTCACCCCCCCCCCCTTGTGCGCTTCCCGGGCCATAGCCGCTAAGGTTGGTGCCGTGGCCCTCCGCCGCTGCCGAAGGCGAGCGCTCGTGCAGGTGTGCCGGGGGCGACGGGAGGCGGGCTATGTGCGCCAGGAGCCCCCAGCCCCCAGCAGTCCCAAGCGCCTCCACGGTGCTGCTGTCGCCCCTAACCACCAACCTGGCCACGATCTCGAGGGCGCCCAGAAGCCACCCTTCCGTCCAACCCGACCGGCAAGATTCTCCAGCGGCATGTGGACGATCCGCCGCCGCCGCCAATCGGTCGGCGCTCCCGGTGTCGTTGACAGCAGCGCCGGAGCCTGGGCGTGGGTGCAGCGGCTCCAGCAGCTCATCCTGCACGATCTGTAGCATGCCGGCCAGGACAGTGGTGTCGTCCTTCTTCTCGGCCTGCTCGCCTCCGCAACCACTTTTTCTGTCCGGTGTGGACGGGAGGCCGAAAGACTCGCGGTCGTCCAGCATTACCGCTATCGCCTTCATCAACGCCTTCCCTGCTTCCACCGCCCAATCCGGGTCTACTCGGGGAGGGGAAGGAGGAGGAGGGGTACCCTGGACACCGCTTTTCCGCTTCTCGCACGTAGTCCTCGCCGCAACGTGGGCATGACTCTCCCCGCTCGTCCGTGCAAGTGGAGCCCCGGCATCGCGAGTTCTGCCAGGGGCTGCTGCTGCTGCTGCTGCTGCTGTTGCTGCTCTGCACCCTTGCGATAAGCGCCGCCGCCGCCGCTGCGTTTCGGTGCCTCCGGGCAGAGACGCATCATCGCAACCAAGCCGAGCCGTGGATGAGGCCAGGAGTATTCTGGCGTACCGTTCCAGCGCTCGGGCGTCCCGTCGGCTGTACACCGCCGCCAACACGCGAACCACGTCGTTCATTGAGGACAGCGCCGCCCGCTTCTCGTCCACGGACCACGCCAGGCGCTCCGCGACAACCACCTCCCCGTCGAGGCCGAACAACGCGTCCTCCCCCCTGGCCTTGCCAAAGCACGGGCCACCACCGTCGCCGCCGTCGGAAAAGGCAAGCTTTGCGACGGCGTCTGCGGCTATCTGAAGGGCGTCTTGCTGCTCGAGGGAAACCGCGTTCATCGGGCGCACGTGCAGCAGCGCCTGGAGGCTGCGGGCGGCCCGCAGGGCCACCGCCAGCGAGGGCGACCGGGCGGCGAGAGCGAGCAGCAACCTCACCGTGTCCACGCCGTCCGCGCGCGCGCCGGGGGCGACGGTATGGCCGTCGAGCGCGAGCCGAAACACCGAGTCGAACGCGGCGTCGAGAGTCCGCAGCTCTCCCACAGGCTGTCCTTCCCCCCGCGGGGAGGTGTCCGAGCGAGGCTTGCTCCAGCTACGGCTGCGTCGGCTGCTGCTCTCCGCGGTCGAGTCAGCCGGCAGGTGCAGGGCGCTCTGCTTCCCCCTCTCCGCCACATCGTGGACCAGGCTACAGATGCGGGAGTGCCCGCCCAGCCGAACGAAGTCCCTCTGTGCGTTCGGCCGCCCTTCCACCATTGCGACGGCGGCTTCGAGAGCCTCGAGACGCAAGCTCTCGCTGTCGAGCGCGTTCAAGCTGCTCTCCGCTCCCGACTCGGTGGCGTGAATGTCTCCGCCTGAAGCTCCCTCGGCTCGACACGGCGCGATAACGTCGGCGAGAATTGCAAGCACGCCACCCGCAAGCATCATCCCCGCGACATCGCCGGGGTCAGCGACACCCGCTTGTCCTTTTTCCGGCTCGGCTGGCCCATCACCATCGCCGCTGCACACCCCCTCCCCAGCGTCGCCTGAGTTGCAACTAGAGCCAGCGACGGAAGGACAAGGATCATCCCATAGCGCAGTCCGATGTGCTTCGAGCGCCGATATTAGCGAGGCCTCTTCCAGCAGAGACTGGGGTAGAACCGCCATCGGCAGTTGCCCTGGGGGGAAACCTTGGGCACCGCTACATGGCAATCCGAACGTCGCGGATGAGGATGTTTCGCTGGCATCTCGCCCGGACGAAACGAGTGCTTGGAACGAGCTGGTAGGGGACGAGGGACAGGGCGACGAGGAAAACGAGGCTGTCAGTCACTGCCAAACCGGCGTACCATTGTTGCGAACTATCATACACGGAGCCCCTTCCTCGAGACCGCGCTCACGATAGCCCGATATGATCTTGGACGCTACTCGACATATCGGAACCCTCGCATATGTGTCTTGACGTCGTTCTATATTCGGCCGTGCCCATCTACAGGGCTGGGCTTTCTAGGTTGTCGCGAAAACCTCTTGAAAACAAGACGACAACATCGTTCCCCGCCTTCGTCTCTACACAGAATGATTTCTGGCCACAGAGACGCTCCTGCACCGCCTACATACCTCAAGACGAAACTCGCGGCGTCTGCGAAAGAAGACGACGAGGCCGCCATCCCGCCCTTGTCTTCCCCTTCCCCGCAGCAGTCGCCGCCAAAGCGGGGACTACGACTAGCACCTCCGCCGCCGCCGCCTCCAAAACGACCAACCCACCGGCCTGTTTTCCCCCTTGGCTCTTGACGTGGCACAGATTCGGGATCGGGCCGGGGCATGGCGAGAAAAGAGGCGAGAAGTTCCACCGCCTGAGGCCGCAGCAGCGAGCCCCTCGGAAGAGCCAGGTGTGCTATGATCTGGCGCGGCAATAGGAGGGTCGGTACGGGTGGGGGCATACCAGAAGGCAGGCGTACACAATCAGGGTTCAGTTTCCGCAGGAGGGGGCGTCTGCCGCCTCTGATTCGATGCAGATCGTTCTTGCCCAGCAGCCCGGCAACGCTTCATAAGGTAAGAATAGCAACATGTGTGCTACACAACGGTGACAAAACTCAAGAGTACCCCCCAGCAGCCGGGCAACACAATTCGCTTGATGCCTTACAAATATAGTACTTCGAATATAGAATTCATAGTAACATGTTTGTGTGAAACAAAAATGGGGATGAAACCTCGGAGTATCCCATCACGAGGCTGACACATGACACACACAGGAGACACACCTGGAAGCCTCCGTAGATCCCGAGTTCCACCACCTTTTCATGGTCAGTCGCCACCAGCTTTAACACTCCCAGAGCGGCAGCCTTCACGTCTAGCATCCTGCGGCACATGTCCGTGTCCAAGGGCACAAGCATCTGGCCGTCGGGAGCGCCCTCTTCAGCGGCGAGTATCGCCACCAGATGTCTCAGGTGCTCCTTCCATTCTGTCGGCTGTCTTGTGGTGCTGGCGCGTCGTAGAGCCAGACAGACACAGAAGAGAAAGAGAGAAAGAGAGAGACAGACAGACAGACAGAGAAGAGTAGAGAACAGAGAGAGAGGGAGAGAGAGAGAGAGGGAGAGAGAGAGAGAGAGAGAGAGAGAGAGAGAGAGAGAGAG